TTTTTTTGACTTAAAAGATTAATGAAAAATAGTTCGTTCTTATGAACAAACCTACATTAAAGTATTATTATATAAATGTTTTTTCCTGTATTCTAATTCCCTTTCTTTCATGTCACAATAAAAAATGTCATGAACCGTTAAAATGTACAACAAAGTAAAAATTGCCCCAACATTTGTGTAAACCCAAAAAATGAGTGTACCGACAATAATCGCATGCAACAACCTATTATAATCATACAGGTCCCGAATAAATCCAACAAGGATTATGCTGCAGAAAAAATACGCAAAGATCGTACAGATAAGATTATTATAGCATTTTTCATAGAGATAAAAACCAAGTCTTATCTGAACCTCAATCGAGACAAAAAAAATCATCAAATGATACTAAAAAAAGATCCATCAATAAGATATTGCATAGAAAGATAAATTGAAGAAAAAAAAACGTACGTACAATTATAAACATTTTAGAAAGTTTTCGTTGTTGTTTGCAATATTGTGTGAAAAACCTTGTTTTATATAACTGTCATGTATTTTTTTTTTTTTTTTTTGGGTTTATTGATGATTTAACCAAATTAATTTCTATTGAAAATTTATCAATCTTTTTTGTTTCGAAAGGAACTTTCTGTAAGTTCCTTTTCTGGCTTTATTAAAAGATAATCATTCATAAATTAAAATTCTTAAAATTTTTATAAACCAATTAAAAATAAATTAAAAAAATATAAAAACATCGATTTTTTACTTTACTAACATAAAAAAAATCCGCATAAAAAACAATAGAAGAAAAATGAATTTGTCAGAGATCTCTCAACGAATTAACGACTTTTTTAACAAGTAAATATATTTTCTAAATTAGTTATGTTAACTATTTATAGTTAAGATTTTTTTTTAACCAAATAGCATGTCTGGAGGAAATACCACTAAAAAACAACTCTTTGAAAAAATTGATGAATTAATGACCATATTCGAAAAAGAAAAAAAGGAAATGAAAGAACACCATAAAAATGAAATCAGTCTTTACCAAGAATTAATCAATACAAAGACAAATGAAATTTCAAATTTAATGTCTATAATCAACAAACATGAAAAAGAAATTGAACGAATCGATGAAATGAGAAGAAAACACGAATATGAATATAATGAAAGATTAAAAGAAAAAGATAAAATCCTTAAACATGAAAAAGAAACCTATAAACATGAAAAAGAAGAAAGAGAAAGAGTCTATAAACGTGAAACTAATATCTTAGAACAAACCATCAATCGTTTAGAACAAAATATTAATGATTTACAAAACCAACTTAGTGAAAATATTTCCTCCGGATATTAAAAATAGTATTTTTTTTTCTTTTAGATAAAAAGTTTTTTTTATTTATATTGTAAAAATTTATATTTATTAAATTAAGTTTAAATAATATAATAAAATTATTAAAAAAAACAAAAAAAACCGGTTTAAATAAAAATATAAGCAAATTTTATTATAATGTTTAAAATAAAGAAAAAAATATTTGAGTTTGTTTACAAAAATTATAAATTTTCTCTTAATTTACAAATTTTGCAACTATTTTTTTTGATGAACGACTTCTTCTTTTTGGACTTCGAGGTGGAGTTACAGGTAAATTCCTTGGGGTTTTTACATTTGCTACTTTTGGTTTATGTACACTTTCATATGTATTTCCATAATGTACATATATCCCACCCTTATAATTTTTTGTAACTTGTCCATTTTTGTTTAAAATCATTTTGTATTGTCCTGTTTTAAAATCCCACGTATATAATTTTGGAAGTTCAATACCAACAAAAACATCATCATCTTGTGCCAATACTCTCAATGATAAAAATAATATGAATACAAATATATATCTCATAATGTCGATCACCAATCTTAATACCACTAACGAGTGTTAAAAAAAATAGTTAAATCTATTGTCCTTTTATAAAAAAAAAAAATATATTTTATATTTAAAAATAAATAAAATAAAATTTAAATTAAATATTTAAATTATTAACACTATCAAGGATATTTTGATATAATCTAGGATCACGTTCTTTTATATTTGATTTTTTAATCGCATCTATTATTTGTTTAAATTGATTTTTATCAATTTTAACATTCAATTTTTTTGAATCATTATTTGGTTTTGATTCTAATAATTTTATACTTGATTCAATGAGTGCTCGATTTGTTGCTGTTGTACCTTCTTGAGCTTTTGATAATAATTCTAAAATATTTTTAATATCATTAGATTTATCATTTTTTTCTAATTTAATTAAATCTTTAATATCTTTAGATTTATTTTTATCAAAAGTTATAAATGCTTCACTAAATTTTTCTAATGCTAATCGTTGATCCTCAAGTAATTGTTTAGTTGTTTTAAAATGAGTATCATTTAGATCTTTGATCGTTTTCGTTTGATTGTTATTAATATTTGTAATAGTTTTTTTATTATTTTCACTTATTTTGTTTGTTGTTTTTTTATAATTATCGGAAATAGTCTGAATGGACTTGGTTTGGTTATCTGCTTGATTTTTTATTGTCTCGTTATGGTTATTGGAAATGGTTTGAATAGTTTTGGTTTGATTATTTGCTTGATTTTTTATAGTTTTTTCGTGGTTATT